CCCCCCGGTTTGGATTATTACGGAGTTATGATACACGGATGTTTTGGAAACTCCAGTGGAAAGCACGCGGTTTCTGCATGTATGATCGGGAAAACCTCACGACATTATATTTACTTTTTCTCAATTTCTCTACTGTTTCTGGTTTTTCTAACGCATTGCATGGCATATGTGCATTGGTGGTGGTTCTGAAATTGTGATTGGGATTTGGTTTGTTTTGGTTTTGAGCATGGCTTTAAATTGGCCCTTTTGATGAGAATGTTTTTTGATTTTCCAATTTCAGAGCGGTTTGATTTTGTTATTTTTATGAAGTTACGAATGATTGATTAACGGAAGTTAGGGGTCAACACTAAGAAAGGACGGAACCCCTCAGCTTTTACTACTCCCTAAAAAAAAGATGAGGGTCGTTTTTGTTGTCCTTTTTTTTACTTTTATTTTTATTTTCTTAATTTTGTTTTTCACTTGTTTGTTATCATATACTATTTTTTTCCATCTCTTTTTCTCTTTCCATTTTTCCCATTTTTCCCCCTCTTCTTGGGGATCAAAAATGCTTCGTGCTGAAATGATGCATGTTTGCGTTTTTCTTCTTTTGGTTTCGGGTTCTTTCGGTTCCTGGCTGTATAGCGCAGCGTAGACTGCTGCTTGATGATTTACAGGTAGTGTGTTCACACATACAATGATGCCCAGTGCATCTCTACTTCCGTCCGTACGGTGCAATGTATGTACACTGTGGATTGTGCGCTGTACATGCTGGATGTGCTGTGCGCTATTGCATTATATTTTTGCTATGGGTTTCAATTTTTTTGGAGACATTTCATTGCCCTGGGTGAGCATAGATGGTTTCATTCATATATTGGCATGGGGCATTACTATGATATGGGAAAGGAAAAATATCAAGAGAAGAGATGTGATATCAATGATGTTTTTGAATCCTGTTTGTTTTTGTTTATATTTATAAAGGGGGTAAAGTTGTGATAAGGAGTTCCCTTTTGTTTTTCTGCCCTTTTTTTTGGGTTCCTTCCTGCATTGACTCGGTGACATAGAATGGACTTGGTATTTTGTTTTACGCGCCTGTTTTACCTTTCTCTTTTTCTGCAGCATTGCGTGGTTTTTTTTTTTTTTGTGGGGGGGCATACATGTTACATGGGACGGCATGACGGGATGAATTTGGCATATCTGTTTTGAGACGTGTATGATGACGTTTTATGTGCATGTGCATGTATTTGTATTAATCTGTATGATAGGAGATTCAACATTTGTTAAGATATGTAAGAGTTTTTGAGATTGGTGCGTTGATGTATCATGTGGACTATTGCCCCTGGAGGCAGACTTGCCTGTGAACTAGGATAAAAGGGTAAAGAGGGTGTATTTCGATGGTAGTGTAGTCTGGTTGGCTCATGTTAGCTGGAAATGTGAAGTTGTATTGGAGATGTTTACTTTGAAACATTTAATGTTGTGCATGCAGATACTGTAGAATTAGGGATGGATTGCTCATGACTAGGTGCTGAGGCGATAAGCTGTAGAAGAATATAGAGAGGCGGACTCTGGGTGAGGCAATGGAGGCGGTGAATGTTCAAGAAGTCCGACTGAAAGCCGCTTCCTCCCAATAGAGGCAGAGACAAGAGGGCCCTCCTAGGGATAAAA